AAATATATTTTTCTTATGTATTTATATCCAAAACATGTTTATTTAATATAAATGATAAAAAGAAAACAATTATTAACATTTTATTAATTTATTTATTTAATCCACATACTGTTTAAAAATAGGCAGTATACCAAATAAACCGAGGAATCTCACGTGTAAAGCTCATAAGCATTGCTGATGATCTCTTTATGCCTATTTTACGTCCTTCAGAGAAGATCATTGAATGGGTGCTGCCATACACACAGTATCAGAATCAGCTGGTGGATCAGGCCGCGCTCATGCTGACTCTGTCTGGACGGGTCAGTGAGACCCAGCAGGTTTTGGCCAATCAGACCAGCTTTAGGCTCCGAACGCCTGATCTCAACATTGAGGTGAGACTTCCAGAACCCTCAGCTGCATGCTTTTTACCACTGTGCAGTTCATTTGACCACAATACTGGTTTTGCTGAATGTTTTGCTCCATGTCAAAACAGAGAAGGTTTGTAAATATCCTCAATTTCTTGTTGTAGCCTATCGGAGAGGCATATGTGGGCAAGGAGACGTCTGCGAAGATCACATTCACAAATCCTCTGCCTTGTACTCTGCGTAATGTGGTCATCCGAGTGGAAGGACTGGGGCTGAGAGACCTCCATCCCATCAGAGTCGGGTAAGAGCCTCACAGTCATCCTGAGCGGAATGTGTGCAGGATTCCTCTCAGAATTCTACCATTTGGAAACAATCCTGAAGGATCCTAATGGGAATTTCTTATATAATCAAAACACAACATAAAATCTAGATCCCAAAGCACAAAGTTCCCAACAGGACTGTTATGATTATGGACTGGATAAAATGGCCCTGTAGGATATTTTTTAAGAAAATTATTTAAAACTGCTAAAGCGCTCTCTATGATTTCCCTTTTCCAATACCATACAATATAAGTGGAGTTTTGTTGAATGTTGCACAATATCTAATAGGAAAATAATAAAATAGTTGGTTGATTTCTACAAAATTCCCCATTAGATATGGGTCTAAATTGTGGTTAAAATTCAGACAGGATCTACTGTTAATTGGAATGAAGCTGAAATAAAATTAAATTTAAATTAGATGAAAAACCTAATATTCAAAAACTTAAATTGAAATTAATCGTAAATGACAAAAGTTGCTTTGGTGACAAACTGAAATAAAAGAGTTGAAGCGGAAGTACTAAAATTACTAAAACTAAAACTGAAATAAATATAAAGCTAAAAAAAATAAAAAAATAAATATATATATATATATAAACTAATAATACAAAAACTAATAAAATTGTTGAAATTAAGGTTACTAAAATATAAACTAAAATCTAAATGAAAAATGAATATATAAAAATAAATCCTAATTCTAAATATTAATAAATACTGTAATACTTTACTATAATAGATTCAAACAACTATAATACATATTCTAATATAAAATACTAAATAACACTGACCTTTACACAATTCAGTTCATTGCTCTTGCTTTATTAAAATGACTAAAAGTGGCAAATAAAAATTCGATTAAAAAAAAAAAATCTTTAAAAAATTACAAAACATTACATAATTACAAAACTTAAAATGAGAACTGATCAAATAAAAATAAAAGCTAATTCTAAATATGAATAAATACTATAATAGTGTACTATAATAATTATAGAAACTATAATATAAATCATACTAAATAACAATGACCTGCACTCAGTTCAGTTCACTGCTCTTTATGACTCTCTGAAGTTGCTTTCTATTGTATTGTATATGTTGCATTAATCTCTCTCGTGCATGTCTTCTCTTTCTCTGTTTTCTCAGTGATGTGAGCAAACATGCCAACGTGACGGTGACGGAGCACTTCATCCCCACGATAGCGGGCAAGAGGAAGCTGGTGGCGTCTCTGGACTGCAGACAGCTGACGCAGGTGCACGGCGTGGCCGACATCGATGTTCACGAGAGCCAGTGAATTCAGTTATCATTATCAGTAACTGCACAGATAAGTAGTTTACGCTGAGCCATATGGTTATTTCTACAGTCAGACATCTTAAAGAAATAACCCTCTTTTTCACATACAATCGTTCCTACTGTATGTCCCTAATTTGAAGTTTGTTTTTATTTCATTTTCGACATTATTTATTTAAAATACTGTATTGCTTTGCTTTATTGTGTCTATTAACTGTTACTTTAGTTTAGTTGATCAAATGGTTCTGTTCACCACTGAAAAAGTAAGCTGATATATTAACGTGTATTCAAATTCTATTTAATGACTGATAATCTAAAAAAAAATATATATATATTTTATTGTGGATAAACACATGTAGATTATGCATTTCATTTCTATGCACCTGTAGCGCCTTATATTGCATACTGTTCACAATGATGACTATTATGGACTCACAATAATTGAATGTGCCTTCGAGTAAATTATTAATATTAGTAATGATTTCATATCGAGCTGCATTGGGGTCTGATGCATAATTCTGTTGTATCCTCACATAATTTTGCTATTACAAAGACTGCAAACCTTCAACTATGAATACATATGAAGACACTTACACTTTATGGCATATTAGGTTTTTATGAAGGAGGGGTTTTTTTCTTAAAAAAATAACATTTTATTTACACCATTCTGTTTTCTGTGGTAGTTTTTTGAAGATGTTTCTTTCGTCTGCTTGACAAGACGAGACTTGTGTGTTTGATTTGGAAAGATGAAGTAAAAAAAACTCCCTTGTGTTTGGATTGGAACAAATGTCATCTGTGATGAGATGAACCTGTTGAAGAGGTTTATTGAACAATCTGCTCACACCAATCAGCTGTGCCTCAATTTAGAGTGTTGCTGCATTTCAGATTGTTTACCACAAATTCATCCATTCATGGATAACACAGTGTTGAGTATATATATAAATAATTTATTTATAAATTCTTTCTCTTTTCTGCATTGCACACCTGCTCTTACTTGTTTCTTAGTGTGATTTAAATAAATAAATAATGCATATGTTTGTAATGTTACAGTCTATAGTAATGCATAGCAGCATACTATTTATGCTATTTTTGCAGTATGGAATCTATGGGCTGTGTATTTTCTGTATTTACCTGTTCTGAATGTCCTACTACATCTGTCAAGATGTGCAGTATACAAGAAAAAACATTTGATACTTTCCATTTCTAGTATGAACAAGTCAGCAACATGGTCAGGTATTTATTTATTTTTTAATATTGAACCATTTTATATAGATTAGACTGCCATGTTGGCACAAAATTGGATTAAGAAAAAAAAAAACATTTGTGATGTAGCAATGCTACTAGCATAGTATACTGTTTGAAACATTTATTGTTGCATAAGGCATACTGTTTCATGCCATTTTAACAATAGTAGGAATTATACTGTATACAGTAAGTATGCAACGAATTGTTCCTTTATTCTGTGATGAAATCAGTTGCATAATCTCCTCAAAAAGCAAAATGCTGCATCTAGCGCCTCGTAGTGTTACTTAATTGTAATCACAAGAGGAATGAGAACAGCTCCCAGAAACAAAATAGGGTTCTGCACAGATTATGTATTTTATTGGACCCAAACAGAAATGATTTAGCATTAAAGCACTAGGGTCTGTTAAAACAAGATCAGGATATTTTCACGTTTATTCTAATCTACGCCATACTATACACCAGTAACGCACCACTCCTGATTTATTTTAAGTTTTTATGCTAACAAGTGGCTTAATGGGCAATGGTATGACTGGAGAGGTTGTTGGAGACACGCCGAACAGGTAAACTCTTCTACTCACTAGTCCGTTTTTACCCTCAATTTAGAGTGTTGCTGCATTTCAGATTGTTTACCACAAATTCATCCATTCATGGATAACACAGTGTTGAGTATATATATAAATAATTTATTTATAAATTCTTTCTCTTTTCTGCATTGCACACCTGCTCTTACTTGTTTCTTAGTGTGATTTAAATAAATAAATAATGCATATGTTTGTAATGTTACAGTCTATAGTAATGCATAGCAGCATACTATTTATGCTATTTTTGCAGTATGGAATCTATGGGCTGTGTATTTTCTGTATTTACCTGTTCTGAATGTCCTACTACATCTGTCAAGATGTGCAGTATACAAGAAAAAACATTTGATACTTTCCATTTCTAGTATGAACAAGTCAGCAACATGGTCAGGTATTTATTTATTTTTTAATATTGAACCATTTTATATAGATTAGACTGCCATGTTGGCACAAAATTGGATTAAGAAAAAAAAAAACATTTGTGATGTAGCAATGCTACTAGCATAGTATACTGTTTGAAACATTTATTGTTGCATAAGGCATACTGTTTCATGCCATTTTAACAATAGTAGGAATTATACTGTATACAGTAAGTATGCAACGAATTGTTCCTTTATTCTGTGATGAAATCAGTTGCATAATCTCCTCAAAAAGCAAAATGCTGCATCTAGCGCCTCGTAGTGTTACTTAATTGTAATCACAAGAGGAATGAGAACAGCTCCCAGAAACAAAATAGGGTTCTGCACAGATTATGTATTTTATTGGACCCAAACAGAAATGATTTAGCATTAAAGCACTAGGGTCTGTTAAAACAAGATCAGGATATTTTCACGTTTATTCTAATCTACGCCATACTATACACCAGTAACGCACCACTCCTGATTTATTTTAAGCTTTTATGCTAACAAGTGGCTTAATGGGCAATGGTATGACTGGAGAGGTTGTCGGAGACCCGCCGAACAGGTAAACTCTTCTACTCACTAGTCCGTTTTTACAGCCTCATTTGCGTTTATCATCACGCTCTTGCAAACTAGTCTATTTCTAACTCAAACTTACATGGAAAAAGTTAAAAGTCACGTGATCGTTGTGCAGTTACGCTTTCAGGGTTCACAAAAGTTGTTCTTTTTTAAAGATCGTCATGCTAAACAACATTTAAAGGGACAGTTCACCCAAAAAGGTTAAAATTCTGTCATTAATTACTCACCCTCATGTCGTTCCAAACCCAGACCTTCGTTCATCTGCTGAACGCAAATTAAGATATTTTTGATGAAATCTGAGAGCTCTCTGACCCTCCATAGACAGCAACACAACTGCAATGTTCCCAGGTCCAGAAACGTAGCAAGGACATCGGTAAAACAGTCCATGTGACATCAGGGGTTTAACCGTAATTTTACGAAGCCACGAGAATACTTTGTGTGGGCAAAGAAAGCAAAAATTCCTCCTCGTGCTGTCTGCAGCGGTGCGCCGCCATTGTGGAAAGAGTACCACGACGCATGCGCAATGTGCTGCTGCTTACCTACACTTATGCGACAGCAAGCGCATGCCTTGTTTACATGAAGCAGAAGCAAGCGCATGCGTTGTGATATTCTTTCCACATGGACTGTTTTACCGATGTCCTTGCTACGTTTCTGGAACTGGGAACATTAGAGATGTGTTGCTGTCTATGGAGGGTCAGAGAGCTCTCAGATTTAATCAAAAATATCTTAAATTGTGTTCCAAAGATTAACGAAGGTCTTACAGGTTTGGAACAAAAACAGGGTGAGAAATTAATGACAGAATTTTCATTTTTGGGTGAACTAACCCTTTAAGAATCACAAACTTGTGTTGGTCACTGAGCATATTTTCTGCAATAATCCAAAAGCCAATGGAAAAATCCTTTTGGGTTTGTGTCGAGGGAACCAGGGAGATGTGTATATATACATAAAATATACATAAAAGTGTATATACATATATACATAAAAATAACCACTGCAGAAGTATATATAGTATATAAGTCTATAAAGAGAAACAAATGCAGACACATTTTATTAAAGGTACAGCAATGTATTAAGATATGGACATTATAAAAACAGACAATCCTTTATAATGCTAACTGAATTATTAAACATCTCTTCTTTTAGTCAATATGACTGTCCAAACATTGTCAGTGCATTCATGACACAGGGTTAACAGGTAGGATGATTTTCTCAGTCCATGATTGTAAAGAAATCTGAATAAAATATAGGTTAGAAAATACAAACACAACCAGCTTCCATTAAATCATGCAGTACAATCACAGAGCCTTTCCACATTAAAGGCCACAGATAGTAAATTCAGAATATGAAGCAACAAGGTCTGAGAACAGCTTTGCCTTTAAATGTTTCTATCAATCTGATCCCACAAACCCAGGACAGCCCTTTCAAAAATACAAATGCCCACACCTACAAACCAACGTGCATCTTATTTAGTCTACAGTATTACAAATACTCTCAACCACTCGGTTGAACTCTTCAGGCTGGTCGGCGTAGACGTGATGGGAAGCATCTTCGATCAGCTGTACAGAGAAAAGCCAGAGACTTTTAGTCATTTTTAATATTTCCGATCTCTACAGTGAATTTAAAAAGTGTCCTGCATTGCAAAGCAATAATTTCTCACCGTGACGCTGGTGGGGCTTTTGCCTCTGATCTGAGCGACTGTGTTTCCAGTGGATGAGTCCACCCAGGACGACGCGCCGTACAGCATGCTGACGGGCATCGACGGGGGCAGCAGAAGAACACGCTGAACCATCGGCCTCTTGGCCCAGCCGAGAGACTCAGACATGGCTTTGAAGCCCACCTCACCACTGAGAGGAAAAGACAATTATATATATACATATACAGTTTCTTCTGCATCTTTAGGAGAATGCATGTGTAGAAAGACTGTACCTGGGGTCCTGAGCGTTACAGTGGTAAATGTACTGCGTCATGGTGTCGTCATCAAACAGATCCTCAAACTTCCTCTTGAAGTCGGGACGGAAACGGTTTACCAGCCCTGGACCTGCATGAACACATGATGTCTTGAATAACAGATTATGAACATCAACTTGAATCAAAGCAAATCTTCACTTGCTCGTGTCCCAAAACCTAGTAAGCTGCCTACATAGACAGCATTTTAAAGCTTTAAAAAGGTAAGCAGCATTAGATACCCAGTTTTGTTCACGAGGCATAATCCCATGTAAGATTTATGAAGAAGTCAATCCCATAATGCACTGCAACAGTGAAAAAGATGTCAGAAAAAGCTAGAAAAATGTGTCAATTTTAATTACAAATCAGAATATTTTACTATTTTTAAAGTTACGTATTTTTATGCTTATTATAGAGCAGTGGTTCTCAATATATATTTGAATTTTTTATATATATTTATTTAATTAATTTATATATATAAAATTTTGTCAAGCTCTAAAATATATCAGGTAGAAAATGCTACATGTAAGTAAAAAACAGTAATCACAATCTAGAAAAGACAAAGACATTCTTAGATTCATTATTAATAAAAAATGTAAACCATATTATTTCAATTATATTTTTATAATGAATAATTATTCATTATAATTAAAAATGAATTAGATTATTATAAAAAAAAATTCTGAAACTAATTTATATACATTTTCCCCAAACTCTTAAAGGGGTCATATGATGCTGCTAAAAAGAACATTATTTTGTGTATTTGGTGTAATGAAATGTGTTTATGCGGTTTAAGGTTCAAAAACACATTATTTTCCACATACTGTACATTATTGTTTCTCCTCTATGCACCGCCTTTCTGAAACGCTTCGATTTTTAGAAAACTCATCGGTCTGAAAAGCAAGGTGTGCTCTGATTGGCCAGCTATCCAGAGCATTGTGATTGGCCGAATACCTCCCAGATAGTGACGTAGGTATGTGGGGGCGTGTTAGAACGAGCCGTTTTAGGTAGGCGTGGTTGACTCTTAACTTTTATAAAGAATATCTCTTTGGATTTGAGACTTTAGTCTTTGCAACTTTACAGATCTTCTTTATGCACCAAGAGCTTGTAACACTCCAAAGAGAAAGGAAACATTTAAATCGCATCATATGACCCCTTTAAATATTTTATCAGGTAGAAAATGCTATTCGTGAGTAAAAATAACTAGAAGAAACTTTCATTGTTAATAAGTGTAAGCCATGAAGAACATTCCATTATTAGAATTATGGAATTTATTATTTATGATTTTACTATACTGACACTCCAAGTTTTTTTTTTATAAAAAGATTAAAATGAGCAGCCAGAAATCTTTGACAATGCAGCGTAGCTTAGCTTTACTGATGAAGGCTATTGAAATCAGTAGTGAACTGCATGTCCTGTGCACTTCACATGTGAGGAGCAAAGCTTATGAAAATTGCTCCAGACTAGTAAAATATGAGGTTACATTTCAGTTAGTATGCTAGTCAATGGACAGTAACTCCTTATACTCACCCCAGGGTCCGGCTGCTCTGATAACAGCCAGCGGGTTAAAGAAGCTGAACACTGACGCCAGAGCTTTCACCCAGCGAGGCGGCGAGACCCTTTTAACCTCTGACCCTTGACCTCCTGACCCCTGTAACTGAGGCTGAGGTCGCTCAGGGAAACCCCACGCATCCACCAGGATGAGGTGACTGACTCTAGTGCACAAAACACAACTGCTGTCAAGATCGTGTAGTTCATTATATTAACAATTATAACATCCTCCACAAAGTCTGACAACCAAAAAATGTCAGAATTCTTTTGCGTTCATTTTGAACAATATACTGTATTTACTCTTTCTTATTTTAAAATCTATAGAGTTAATTTGATGAAATATTTTTTTTTCATAGTGTGCTTGTACAATATTTCTTTAAAATGACTTTGATTTTTGTGTTTTTGATTTTATGTTGTTTTATTTATATTTATTTCATTAACATTTATACATTTAGCAGACATTTTCAACCAACAGAGTAACATAAGCAATTCAGCAAACATTTTTTTGTTTCTTTTCTTTTACAATTTTCTTTTTATTTTATTTTATATTTTGTATGATCTGTTTTGCATTTACATTTTGCTTTTATATTTTGGTTTACTTTTGCAAAAACATCCTTTTTAACCTTTTTTTTTATTCATTATTTGCTCAGACTGCCAAACGTTGGTATTTTTAAACAAAATTTGATAATGCATGACATAAATTAAACATTTAAATATTTTATAGCAATTAAAAAAGGATCAGTAAACATTCTACCAAACATCTTTTGTGTTCCATGAAATAAAATCTTTTTTTTTGGGATTTTAAATGAACTATAGCTCAGTAAATGACAGCTGTTATTATAAACCATTGCAATTTATTGTACTATAATTTATAAGCTTTTTGGACCTTTCTGGATATTGGATTGTATAGGATGTTGCTAGGTAACCACCCAGGCTGTGGCCCAATAGGATCAGGCGCTCCAGCCCCAGTGATTGTCTCCACTGCTCTATGGAAGTAATAAACTGCTCCTCAGCCAATGAGGCATCAGACGGGAACGAGGGGCGAGAGCTGCGACCGAAGCCCAGCAGGTCAAAGGCGTAGACCGTTCGAGAACAACTCAAAGCATCCAGGTTACGGATCCAGAGACCGACGCCCCCTCCAAACCCGTGAACCATCACTAGGGGCGTCCGAGCAGCTGTAGAGAGACAGGGACACGGTATGGGTCAGACAATATCTAACTGTGCAAAATACTTTTACAGTCAGCCACTGTAGAAGAGGAATAGAAACTCTACCTTGGTCTTTATGTTTGCGGGCTGATTTGTTGGTGACTTTAAGGGTCCATATTCTGTTTTGATTTGGCAACGTCACAAATCTGGACCATACGTCATTCTGGAGACCTGAACAACAGGCAGAATATTTTGGGATAAAAATAAATTAAAATATTGTAATGAAATAAAAAAAATATTTTAATAAAATGCAATCTCAATAAATATAATATTATGAATAATACGGTTACACTTTATTTTAAGGTGTCCTGGTTACAGTGTAATTATACATTTAAGTACTGAGTAATATTAACTACATGTACTTACTATATGGTTAGGATTAGGGTTTGGCTTAGGGTTACTTGCATGTAATTATGCATAATTTATTGTTATTATAATAAGTAAGTACATGTAACGTGTAACAAGGACACCTTAAATTAAAGTGTTACCAAATAATAGAATAGGATATTATAATATGTGACCCTGGAGCACAAAACCAGTCTTAAGTCGCTGGGGTATATTTGTAGCAATAGCCAAAAATACATTGTATGGGTCAAAATTATCGATTTTTCTTTTATGCAAAAAAAAAATCATTAGGATATTAAGTAAAGATCATGTTCCATGAA